TCTTTTTTTATTTACCTGTTTGTTTTTCAAATACTACAAATAAGATGGATCTTTCTTTTCTTTTTTCTTTTATTTTAGTGGGAGAGATAGCTTTGGGAGGGATATTGTTGGGTCCAACCAAAGTTCATTTCTAGATCTCTTTAGCTTTTAGGCTTCTGCTGGCATTTCAAGAGCATATTATTATCCGTGCTTTTAAGAAGCATTTGAACGCTACTTGAAATGCAAACACCGTCAAAGTGATACTCGTTTGTGAAAACGGAATGGTCTTAATGGAACAGTCACCCACAGTGGGTCTTTAATACTGTTTAGGGCTTCACTAGAACAAGGGGCTTTAAAGAGTACACAGTGGTACATGCCTGCTGTCCCAGCAACTCCGGAGGCTGAGGCAGGAGGATTACAAGTTTGAGGCCAACCTCAGCAACTTAACAGGACCTTATCTTAAAAGGAAAAAAAAAGATGACTAGGGATGGAGCTCAGTGCTAGAACACCCTTGGGGTAAATTCTAGTACCACTAAAAAAAAAAAAAATGAGAGAGAGAGACAGACAGACACTGGGGGACGTTGAGGCAGGAGGATCGCTTGAGCCTAGGGATTTGAGATCAGCCTGGGCAATGTAACAAGACACTGTCAAAGGAAAACAAAGTTATGTTAAGACCCTGTCTCAAAATAAAATAATAAAAAGGGCTGAGGCTGCTGCTCCATGGTACTGCAAAACAATACGTGAATATAAGTGGACGTTTCCCCCTCTGATGCAGAAAAAAATTGTTTAATGACGGAGGCCCCCTCCAAAGTCACATTCATTTTTTGACATATTGATATTTCAAGAAAGTATCTGTCACCGAAACTCCAGCGGTGCTGGCCTTTCCGTTCCTTGAACATGTTCTGACCTCGGGGCCTTGGCACCTGCTCTCCCTCCACCTGGAGGAGTGCCTGCCCCTCCTGTGCCCGGCTCCCTCTAGTCCTTCAGTCCTGACGCAGTGGCTCCTCCGTGTGCCACCCGTCCCCGTCACCCTCCGTCACATCACTGGTTTTACTTATCTGGGATGACAAATCTTTACATTTGATTCTTCACCCCACCCCCTGGGATTGAACCCAGGGAGCTTAACTTAACCACTGAGCCACATCCCCAGCCCTTTAAAAAAAAACAAACGAACAAACAAAAAACCATTTACTTTTTAGTTGTAGGTGGACACAATACCTTTATTTTATTTCATGTCGTGTCCAGGATCGAGAACCCAGTGCCCCATGCATGCTAGGCGAGCGCTGTACCTCTGAGCCCCAGCCTCAGCCGCTCCCCAGTCCTTTTTTAAAATGTTTTTATTTAGAGACAGGGTCTTGCTAAGTTGCTCAGGGCCTCACTAAGCTGCTGAGGCTGGCTTTGATCCAGCGATCCTCCTGCCTCAGCCTCCTGAGTCTCTGGGATTGCGGGCGAGCTCCACCTGCCCAGCTCCACTGAATCCTTTGAAGGTGACTCCCAGGCGCAGCACTCCTTCCTGAGCGTCCCCAGGGACTGCAGCTGCTGGTGCCTCCTCAGAGGTTACACCTTTTGTGCTCCAAGCCCCACCGGCTCCTGGGCCTGATGACCAGGTGGTGACAGGTACCTCCACCCTGTGCCCTGCGGCTTCCCCCTTGCTATGAACATTTGCTCTCTGTGTCAGGCCCTGCACCACAGAGAAGGCTCACCAGCCAACCCTGCTCCAAGAGCCCTGGGGCTTGCTCCAGGCAGGAGGAAAGTAGGAGCCAGCAAACACAGATGTATGCACTAGATACCCACGGGACCCTGGGGAGGGGTCCAGGGGACGCTGGGGAGGAGGCCAGGGGACGCTGGGGAGGAGTCCGTCAAACTACACAACATTTCGGTTCAAGAGACCTCTGCACAGCGTGTGACCACAGTTAGTGACAACGGAGAGTCTACTTGAAAATTGCTGAGTGGGTCTTAGGGTTCTCACCACACACAAAGGGGTGAGCTAAGGTCTGTATGAGCCTGATTTAACTCTGACACCGCAACAGACACCAAAACTTCAGGTCGCTCGCCAGACACCCGCAGACTTTTGTCAATTTAAAAATAAACAGCTGGAGGGGCCGGGGCTGGGGCTCAGCGGTGGAGCGCTCACCTAGCACCTGCAAGGCCCTGGGTTCCATCCTCAGCACCTCATAAAAATAAATAAATAAAAATAAAAGGTACTGTGTCCACTACAACTAAAAAACAAACAAATAAATAAATATGAAAAACATCATTAAGAGCTGGGCTGTGGCTGGGGTGGAGTGCTTGCCTGGCACGCATGAGGCCCTGGGTTCCATTCTCAGTTCGATTCTCATGAAAAAAAAAAAAAAGAACAAAGAAAGTTGACAGTGTTGGAAAGTAATCACGGACGAACAGAAGTAGGGCAGAGCACGGGGCGGAGGGTCGAAGCCGGACTGCCGCAGTGACCTGGAGGAGGTGAAGGAGCGGTCACTCAGGGCCTGGGGAAGGTGGCTCAGGTGACATCTTTAGGAAGGGTCGGGCCAGCCCTGGGGCGGGAGCAGGCTGCTGCCCAGGAAGCTGGGAGTCTCTGCGAGCGGCGGCAGAGACCTGGAGCCGGAGGAGATGGAGGGGGTCGGGCCGCTGCCTGCGGGTTTGCAGGACAGGTCCCCGGAAGGACTTCAGGACAGTCCTGAGGATATGACTCTGCCAGACGCGGAGGCTGCTGCAGTCCTCAACGGAGGGGGCTGGGATCGACAGCTTTGTAGAAAACAGGCCGCCAACGGGGTGGGGTCCAGTTGGGGCACGGGAAGACCCTGCAACCCAGGCAGGAGGTGATGGCCACCTGGGCCCCGGGGTGGGCAGCGGAGGTGAGAAGTGGTCAGGGTCGCAGGGGCCTCGGATGGCTTGTGGGCAGTGTGGGAGAGGGGGCAGGCGGGGAGACGGCTCTGGGGTTCTCCCCGGGCCAGGAAGGGCACAGCTGCCCCGAGGGCCGCCACAGGCAACAGCGAGTCCCTGGGGCGGGAATCCCTTCCAGGCAGCACCCGGGCAGTTATTTTTGGACACCCCAACAGAGGTGGGGAGCAGCTGCTTCTGGAGATGGGGAGAGAGGTCTACTAGGAGACACACATCTGTGAGTCACTGCTGCGCTCAGCAAGGAGGGACAGGACCCGGCCAGGGGGGGTCTGGAGAACTCGGGGGAGGGTGCTCACTGCCGTCAAAGCTGCCAAAGGGTGGAGAAGGATGAGGACCGGCCATCCAGAGACAGGACGGGGCTGGGGTTTGAAGTCGGTGGAGGGGCCACCCAGGTACCCCAGAAACCCGTGGCAGAGGGGAGCAAAGAAGGGTGGTGGCGGGGGTGGGGGGTGCTGAGCCCAGGGAGGCTCTGCTTTTCCTTGACAATGGGGGGTGCGCCCGGGGGATTCTGAAGAGAGGAGAGAACTGGTGGTGGGCGAGAGGGGCCCAGATGGGTGCCCAGAGGAGGGCCTGGGACGGGTGTGTCCAGGGAGCTGTGGGAGCTGGCAGGTGGGTGGGGTGGTCAGAGTGAGCCCACGCCTTCTCCGGGTTGCCTTCACTGTTTCTGTGAAGTAGGAGGCAGGCGGGAGGCTGGGAAAGGAGGCTGCCAAGCATGGGAAGCCCGTGGGAGGGCGGGAAGTGAGGAGTCCAGCAGGGTCAGGGGGCCACAGCAGCCACCAGCCCCACGAGGCTCCCGCAGCCTCTTCTCTTACACGGAATCTTTTTGACCAATTTATTCCCCAAAAGCACAGATTTTGATGTTTCTCAGAGATGTAATGAAACGAACATTGTTATTTAAATCTTGGGACCAGTGGGCAAAGTGGTGTGCACCTGTAATCCCAGAGTGTCAGGGGGCTGAGGCAGGAGGATCACAAGTTCAAAGCCAGCCTCAGCAACTTAGACTCTTGTCTCAAAATATAAAAGGGCTGGGGAGGTGGCTCAGGGCTGGAGCCCTGTCGAGTCCTACACTTTAGTTATTTGATGGGAACAAGACTTACCATGCAGTAAAACATTCCACAGGACCCAGAGATCTACAGAGCTGATCTTAGACAAGCGTTCCAAGAACACACAATGGGAAAAGGATAGTCGCATCAATAAATGATATGGGGAAAATGGATATCCACCCACAGAAGCACGAAGCAATGCTTACCTCACACACTACGTACCAAACCCCATTCAAAATGGATCAAAGATATTAGACCTGAAACTAAGTATACAAGGACTCACATGACTCAATAGTGAATGTACAAATAATCCGACTTTAAAATGGGCAAACGTCTTGAACAGACATCGTTTCAAAGACATACAAGTAGCCAACAGTTATGTGAAAAGGTGCACAACATCTCTACCATTAGGGAAACACAAACCACAACCCCGGGAGGTGACCACTCCATCCGTGAGAATAGCTCTCGTCAGAAAGTCCAAACAACAATAGGGAGGTTCCTCAAAATATTAAGAATACAGCTACCTTAGGATCCAGCAATCCCACCTCTGCATATACACCCCAGGAAATAAAATCTGTATCTCAAAAAGAAAAGGCATTCCATGCATATCTCTTAGATGCTTATTTAAACCACAAGGACCCTAGCAGCGAACAACAGGACACATCTCTCATGCAGATACTCTTTGCTTGAAAACTAAATATTTCCAAACCAAAAATCATCTAGATCTTCAACACCTCCATCTACATCTTTAATAAGTCTTAACACCATGCGTAAGTCAGCTCAATCACACATTAAAGATTTTACATGCTACTTCAAGTTCAAGATCGATCCCACCAATAAATTTTAAATATTTTATATGAAAATCAATTTATTGGATCATTTCATCATTAAAAATTTAAGTGCTTGGGATTTAGCTCAGTGGTAGAGCTCTTGCTTAGCATGCCTGAAGCCCTGGGTTCCATGCCCAGCACCACACACACACACACACACACACACACTCACACTCACACACACAATCTTGAGCCTAAAAGCAATAGTTTACTTTTACTGTCTTTTGAAAATTGTTGTGTATTAAAAACTGCTCCTATTGAAATATTACATAACATAAAAGGGAAAGAATATTTAAAGGATTATACATTTACACTATAAGGTGCAAATATAAATTACCGTAACATTCGTTTGCAGTTCACCAAATAACCCTTACCTGAGTTGCTTTGCATAGCTGAGCTCGATCTCAGTTCTTTCCTTTACAAACTTGATGTATTTCTCAAGAACGTCGATTCCCCACTGTGTGTGTTTTTCTAAGTTGTCAAACTGATCCTGTTTAAGAAAGGAGAGAGAGTTCACAGTCTTCCTCTGTGATGGACATAATTTCAATGGACAATCCTCTTAATAGTGCTTTGCCACACAGGAAGCAGTTTCCACTCAGAGTTTCCATGATCCTTCTTGGATGCCTTTTGGTTGGACAGTTTTAAATCAACATTACCAAATTTGGCTTGAAAACTGCCTGGAGTACTGAGCTCTGGCGGATTCATTCATGTTTCAGAAACATGCTTTTTGGATGTCACTGATGCAAAGGGACTTGTCTCTCTCAGATGCCAGACTACTGACAGGTGACACCCACAGGCACAGTCTCTATAGGAACACTTTAACTGGGACATCTGGGTCGTCATTCCAAAAAGCTGATGGAGTTTGGAGTGAGGAAGTGGGAGTTATAAAAGTCCACTTTCTTCAAAGAAATACCATATCTCATGGACTTTATTTATGCAGACACACTGTGTGCCAGGGACTGTGCTTGGAACCCAAAGGAACAGATGTGCTCCACCTTGCAGAGCGCCTGGAGTTCCTGCTCCGGGAGCAGGTCTGCCATGTGCAGAGGCATGTGCATGGCTTAGGTGGCTTGTCCCCAGGGTCCCCAGGGAGGGTGAGTGAGGCATAGGGGATGGGTGGTGCTGGGGCAAGATGAGAGACTGCCCAGGGCCAGGCCACCCTAGGCCTCCGCGGCAGACCTGAGGAGCTCCGACTCTCCAGCAGGCCGGAGCAGGACTTCCAAGGGGGTGGCCTGACCACGGGGAGGTTTCCAATCACCAAGAGACTGTCCTCGCAGTCCAGAGCAGGGGACGCAGGTGCACAAGGAAGGGTTTTGGAGACGCTGAACAAATGGAGTCCACCAGTGTCAGTGAATGACCAGGTGAGGGAGCAGGGGGCACGTGACGGGGAGAGGCCAGGTGACTCCGCTTCCGTTTTCTGCGATTAGATTGGTCCAGACACGGGGGATCTGCATTTCAGGGTGGAATTAAATGAGCTTTGCCGCGTGGAGCAAGGGACTGGCACGTCTGGGGACAGGGCGGGGGAGCAGCTCCACTTGGAACTCAAGGAGAGGCCGGGAGGCGCGGATCTGAAGCCACGGCCAGGGGCCAGAATGCCAGAGAGGAGGCAGCTCTGCACAGGGTCAGCAGAGCCCGGCCCGGGAAGGGGCCAGAGGGGACCATCAGCACGTCACAGGGAAGAGGGCTTCAAGGAAGGCCAAGACGGAAAGTCGGCTGCTTCCCGAGAGGTGAGAGGGGTCTGGCCCAGCCACACACTGGAGGGAGACAGGCCCCCAAACACTTCAGCGCTTCGTCCCCTGCCTACCGGTCACAAATCAGCCACGACTGTCACACAAAACGGGGAGGGCTCGAATCAATCCATAGCGAGCTACTGCGTCACCGCATCCCGCGCGTGTGCGACCCAACGGCACGTTCAACGGCACAGTCCAGGTTGTGCGCCCCCAGCGTGGTGTCTTCCCTCCCTTCCTCCCTTTTTCCTCTTTCTTTCTTCCGGGGATTAAACCCAGGCCACTTTACCACCGAGCCGCATCCCCCGCCCTGTTTATTTTTTAACTTGGGACAGGGTCTCACTAAGTTGCTTAGGGCTCGCTGAGTTGTTGAGGCTGGCCTTGAAGTGTGTTTTCAATAAAGTCATCGGTATTCGAGGCCACTCTGTAATCTACACCAAAGGACAGGTCCACCTGTGACAGGTGCGCCTCACTGTCGGCACGGCTTGGTTCCTCTAGGCCACTTTACTGAGGTATGACTACGTTAAAAAGTTAGGTGTCCACCTGCAGTTCCAGCACTCAGGAGGCCGAGGCAGGAGGGCCATTTGTGCCCAGGAAACCAGCCTGGGCAATAGACCAAGGTCCTGTGCGTGTTTACTGTGTTCAGCTCAACGCCCTCGAAGCATCTGGAGGTGAGCACACATGAAACCATCACCACAGTCAACGCCAGGGACACTGCACACAGGACCCAGCCTTTGTACATTTTCAATATACAGTGCAGGGTATTTTGGTGGTTGTTTGCTTTCTGGTGGTGCTGGCATGGACCCCAGGGCCTCGCACAGGCCAGGCAGGCCCCAGAGATGCCCCCCAGCCCCAGAACAGCCCTCGGCAGCCTGGCGCTGCGCAGCCCTGCAGGGTGCTTCCCACCTCCAGCCCCGACCTCAGGCCCACTGTTGGGCTTCTGGACTCCAGTTTCCATTCAAGGCTGTGCACAGTGTGAAATGAATGGATTTTCCGTGATTCAAACTGGGGTGGGAGAGGAGAGGACAGGAGGCAAAAGCAAAGCCACTGCCTCCCAAACTTGAGACATCTTTTGAGAAGAAATGCTTTCCTCGATCCAGCTCTGGCCTCGGCCCACAGAACAGCTGCAGGAGCATCACCTCGTGACTGGAGGCCTCACCTCACTAAAATGCTTCCCTGATGGGAAATAGTCACTGTAAAATACCTGAAATGACTGACGAGCTGGGCGTGGTGGTGCATGGCTGTAATCCCAGGGACTGGAGGCTGAGGCAGGAGGATCCTAAGTGTGAGACCAGCCTCAGCAACTTAGCAAGGCCCTGTCTCAAAATAAAAAATAATTAAAAGAGGGGCTGTAGCTTGGTGGCAGAGCACTTGCCTAGCATGTGTGAGGCCCTGGGTTCGATTCTCAGCACCGCATATAAATAGATGAAGTAAAGATCCATTGACAACTAAAAAAAATAATGATTAAAAAAATAATTAAAAGGAAAAAAGAAAAAAAAAACCCAAGCTGGGAGTGGTGACCCACACCTACAATTCCAACAGCTCGGAGGCTGAGGCAGGAGAACTGCAAGTACCACCAGTCCCAGTAACTAAGCAAGACTCTGTCTCAAAATTTTAAAAAAGGGCTGGGGCTGGGGCTGGGGCTCAGTGGTAGAGCATTTGCCTGGCTTGCCTGAAGCCTGGGTTTGATCCGATGCACCACAAAAAAAATCATCATCATCATCATAAAAATAAATATAAAAGGGCTGGGGATACAGTCAGTGGTAGAGTCCCCCCTGGAGGGGGACAAAGTTCTCAGTGATTCTCGATCCTCTATGATACATTCCACAGCCACCTAGATTCCGGTTCAAGAAACGCTGCTCAGGAAAGATTATTTATTTATGTTATCTCTAAGACAAGCCTTGTTGAGCAAATGAACAGTGTAAATAAGGCCGTGGGTCTCTTTAAACTACTTGAGAGAACAAATACACAAACGGCTCAAGTAATGGCCACAAATCATTCCCAGCCACGGGGAGTGGGGCTTCTCCACAGCGAGGCTGCACTCCGGCCCCTTCCTCCTCAGGTGCAGAACCAAGACCCAGGCCTCTGCGCCAGAGTCTGCTCTCAGCCATCGCCCCTCACCTCCGGGCGATCGTCTCAGGGACCCATGACCCTGCGAAGGCTTGTGAGCGCCTCTGCTCCTGGATGTCCCTCCGGCCCTGGTCACCTCCAGACGCGTTCTCCCTGACCACATACAGGTGTATGTGATACGGCGACAAGAGCTTTGGACGCCCAAGCCCTAAAAGCAAACCCGACAACAACAAAGCCCTCTGCTGTTGGAACTGCGTCCACTCCAAGATGACTGACCGCAGGCCAGCAGTGTTCTCAACCAAGTCATCAGTATTCCAGGCCACGCTGCAAGCTACACCAAAGGACGGGTCCAAATGAGACAGAAGATCTGAATAATAAAAACCCTCAATAGTAAGTGAGGGCCCGCGGCCACCGCCGAGCTCCTGTTATGCTGGATCAGCACAGCTCTGCGGCGCCACGCCCTGCTGGTACTGACTCAGGGACGCGCAGCGTGGACATTTTAACAGCAGCTGAAAGAAAATTCGTAACAGATGAAAAACTAATCAACCCACTTACATTCTTATCCCAAATGTGGGAAACTTCATGGAAAAAAGTTCCAAATCTTTAAAAGACTCCTTGTGAGCAACTAGTACCAATGGGCCTTTAAAAAGTGCCTTTGACACTTTGGGGATGGTGCCCACCCTGCAGCAGCAGCTCCAGAGCCCCTGGCTTTTTCTTTTGGTGCTGGGGATTGAACCCAGGGTGCTCTACTCTACCCCAAAGTCCTTTTGACTTTAATTCTGAGACAAGATCTCACTAAGTTCCTGAGGCTGGCTTTGAACCTCAGTCCTCCTTCCTCAGCCTCCAGAATCGCTGGGATTACAAGTGTGTGCCACCGTGCCCCATCTTGGTCTGCCTTCTTAAAAGTCATCGAAGGCTCGGAAGAGCTTTCATTTGAATTATACTCATTGATATTTATCCTATCAGAAATTAAAGATTTTAAAAATCTGTTAATTCATCTGTATAGTAATAAATCCATCACATGCTAAGTAAATGGTGTAAATTTTATTTTTAATTTTTTTAAAACTATACTTTCAAGCTGGGCAAGGTGGTCCACACCTGTAATCCCAGAGAGGGGGGAGGGGGCTGAGGCAGGAGGATCACACGTTCCAGGCCTGCCATGGCCATCAGCAAGATGCTCAGCAACTTAGCGAGGCCTTGTCTCAAAATAAAAAGCGCCGTGGATGAAGCTCCGTAGAAGAGCACCCTTGGGTTCATCCCCCAGCATAAATACATAAATAAAGTACAAAAATTCAAAAAATGAAGAACTGTATTTAAAACACACACACACACACACACACACACACACAAATCGTGGGAAAGCGACCGTGTTCATGTTGCGGATATCTTTATGCCTGGCTCAGTAGGAGGCAGCTGGTCCTCACCGATGCTTCTGCATTAATCTAATGGTTCCTTACTTAGGTTGAAGTATATGGAAACATCCGGCTCCACACAGTCAGGTAGTTGAAAACAGAGGCCAATTTCAAAGACCCTTTTTAGATAATTGCAGGTTTTCTCTGTTGTTCCACCTGGAAGCTGAGTTGCGGGAGGAGATGGAACCTGAAGGTGCTCTTCCTGCTCCCTGGCAGTCAGGTCCGCCGCCCACCCTGCACTCTGAGCAGATCTTTACCTGAGATTGCACAGCGCTATTGAT